CTCATCGTACAAGATGTATTCTAATTTATGTGTTTTAAATTAATGAATAATAATGTCACAATACTAATAACACTATTTATTTGTCAATGGATGGATGTTAATGCATGTTGAAAAAGTTCAGGAATTGTAATGTTAAGTAATACAAACAAAGGACCTCAGCATGGAAAAACTGTGTGTGTTACCTCATAATCAAGGGATCCCTTGAAAGATATGGTTCCCGTCTGCTCTCCTTTTCTTTGCTGAATGAAGAAGTCAGCACTGGAGGCAGAGGGAGACACGGAGACGATTCTCAGCGTGAACTGAGCGTTTGCTGTGCCAGGCTGGTCGTCATCAGTTGCCAGCATTGTGAACAGAACCTTACCTTTGGGTAAAACAATACAAAGAGGATCAGGTGAAATGTTGCTCTTTCACCTGGAAACCAGCCGGTTTAAACCAGTTTTGTATATTTGAGTCATACCTTGTTGTGTTGATTCATCTACTGCGATTTCATACACATCCCGATTAAAAACAGGAGCGTGGTCGTTAACATCCAGAATATCGATATCCACAGCAACTACTGTGCGTTTTTTAGAAAGATAGATCTGCAAGTCAACAAAATAACAGTCAGTATCAACTATTAAAAATACTTATTTAACTTAGTCACTGCTTATTGTAGGACTTACTCTCAGTTTCTGGTACTCCTCATAGTCAACTTTTCTATGAGCGTAAACTGAGCCGTTTCTGTCCACAGAGAGAATTCCTTTGGGGTCTTTGTCGATGCCCTGTCCATGAATGGCGTACTCTTCTATAACTTTCTTCTCAATATTTAACTTAAAAAGGATGGAAACGATTCTAAATGATTCATTTGGTTGAGAACAAACTCAGAATTCTATGCTCTTACAAAAACGTATATTGCTTTTAATTGAATCAGTTGATATTCTGCTATAAAGTGGCCAGTTACTATAGAAAGGTTTCAGTATAACCTACATCTCCCAGTTTATATGGGAAAGGACCAGTGTGCTCTTCTTCCATGGTCAGGAAATCCACAATCCAGGCTCGCTTTTTGCGCATGTTTAGTTTTGATGGGGTTGCACTCTGAATACAGACACTCTGAAAAAGAGAAAATTACACAAAACATTGCAATTTATCAATTAGAAACTCAATAATATATTCCATTCATTTCAAATTCTTACCTTTTAGCTATCGTGTTCTGGAGGATAATAAGGTAATGGTAACACTATATTTTAAAAAACAATTCTTACTATTAACTAGCATGCATATTACTAGCATATTGGCT